GACTCTCCCCGCTCTTTCCCACCTACTTATTGGGGAGTGGGGTGTACCCCCACTGCCATTCTGAGACCCCATGGAGACCCCACGTGTTTTAGAGCAGAACTAACTGCTTCATAGGGGTCCGATTTCAGCCGATTCTACTTGCCCTGAGCTGGCCTTGAGTCCTGTGACAGGTTTCCATCTTATGGGAGCAGCCCCGAGGCCTTTCTTCCCGGACACCTCTGGGAGTGTTGGGGATGTCAGCCTCCTGCTTGTCCTTAAACTCTCTGTAAATGTCAGCGGAACGGATGGGCTCACAGACCTCTCTGTACAGCCTGGCAGCAGGTGCCCAGGGAGGGAAAGGAGTCCCAGGGTGGGGGAGAGTAAATGAGAGGAATCACAAACCTCAACAATTTTATTCAGTCCCTTGAGGGAAGAGTACCAAGGCACCCAAGAGGTGTCTGCCCCCTGAAAGAACTAAAGTCCGGGGATAAGCGCACACCGGCCTTCACCCTGGACAAGGCTGGCTGGTACCCCTGGGGAGCAGACTGTGCGGCTGGAGGCTCCACGGGGCAGCCAGAGAGCGCCACCTGTGACAAGCGCTCTTCCTAGCCCCGCGGTTCCCAGAGCTCCTGGGCTCAGCTCCGGCAGCGGCCTATGGTCTCCGCCCTTCCAGAAAGGCAAAATGTGCCCAGTGAGGCCATTCGTATTTGAGGCCGCCTGGTGGACAATCGGGACTCTGCCTTCTAGGAACGCAGAGACAGGGCTGTGCCCCGGCAGGGTGGAGAGCCTGCGGTGGTGGGTGGCTGAGCAGGACACCACAGCTGGGCAGACAGGCGGTGTGCACTAAGAGGCTGGCCTCCCACCCTCCCACATCCATCCATAGCGAGGAGACTGGGGCTGGCCAGCCCGGGGTGGGCCTCCGGCAGTGCACACCAAGTTGTCCCCAGTCGCTCCCCTTGACTGCACCCGCGGGGTTCCTCCGGGGCCCACCCTGCCCTTTGTAGCCCCCTGGCATGAACCTCTGTCCCAAGCCAGGAAGGGTGAAGCCAGAGGTGACAGAGTCTTGCAGAGCCGGGGCCCTTCTCCGGATCGCGGGGTGACCGTCGCCCAGGAGTGCACTGGGACCGGCACTGCGCCCAGGGGTGGGGGTGGCTTTCAGTGGCTAGATTCTTCGGACTCCAAGAAAGGCGAGGAGGAGAAGCAGGAGGACTCGGAGGAGTCTCGCGCCAGGGAGGGGGGCGCGCGGGGCTCGTCCGGCCGGGAGCCGGGGGGCGGCCCGGGGGCGGGCCCGGCGCCGTCGGGGGCCGCGCCCAGCAGCTCCTGCAGGTACTTGATGTAGCGGATGGCGGCACGCAGGGTCTCCACCTTGCTGAGCCGCTTCTCGGCCAGGGCACCGGGGAGGTGGCCGCGGAGACGCGCGTAGCCCTCGTTGACGCACTTGACCCGCTGCCGCTCGCGCTCGTTGCGCTTCTGGATGAAAGCGGGCTCGAAGGGGTAGTCGTAGACCCCGAAGGCGCCCGGGAAGGGCACGTAGGGGAACACGCCCGTGTAGGCGTCGTAGTACGTGGGCTCGGCGTGGCCAGCGTACAGCAGGAGGGGCACGTTGCCCAGGGGCTCTGCCGGGGGCAAGGGCGTCTGCCGGGAAGGGGGCACGATGCCCAGTTGCATGCAGCTGGGGGGCGCCACGGGTCTCCGGTCCACCAGGGCCCGGCAGAAGTTATTGTTCATGGTGCCGCGTGGGGCTGGACCCAGAGCGTGACCTTCCCCGAAACTCCCCTGCTTGGGGGTCTGCACGTTCACCGAGCGAACTGGGGGGGCGACGGTCACATTCCCCAGCAGCGCGATTTCGGTGGCAAGACTGGCTAGGGTCTCTTTTCTCCTTTGGGGGTGACTTCCAGGGTCGCCCTAACCCAAGCCATGGCTCTAGACACGTGTGGCCCCTCGCGGCAGACGAGCAGGTGCGCTCTTAAATCCAGCTTGTGGCGTTGCAGACCCTCGGGGCCGGGCCCTCCTCCGTGGTGCCCATGGGCAGGGCCACAGGCCTGTGCACCCTGCTGCCTCCTGCAGCCCCGCATGGGCACCGCCCACCGGAACTAAGCCAGGCTGCCCCCCACCCGCATCCTGCCCTCACCCCTTGTTCTTTTGGCTCCCTGGCTGTTTCAGAGACTGGACACAGACGTCTTAGGAGCGCGACAGCTCAGCGAGGGAGTCTCCCAGGGCACCAAGTGTCTAAAAAGAGAACAGAGAAAGTAACAATTAGCAAAGGCATTGTGTTACTGGTTCCCTTAAGTCACGTCGACCCTCAAATAGGAGGCTAAGGATCATAGGGGGAGGCAGTGTGCTCCTGAGAGGGCACACAGA